TATTTCACAGAATAGCATCCCTTAATCCTAGGGTTATGGAAAATCTGTGTTCTTACAGATGTTTATGAGTTTTCCTGGTGCAGAGATAGATAGAATCAATTTGCTTGTGCCTGGCCCTCAAGATGTATTAAATTTATCCTGAAGGAAACTGGTTTCTGAAAAGCTCTTGCCCAGATGCATTAGGCAGGTGGGAGTTTCAGTGAACCAGAGGGTCCACTAGCAGATGCAGCATTGATTTCTGAACGTTCACAATCTAGCCGACCGCTCCAGAGCAGACTTGATTTGATGGCTCTCTATGGGGTGCCCTGCAGACTCAATTATTTCCACAACCAGTCTGGCTAGCATTGTTTCATGGCGACCATGCTCTATGCTTTCAGCTTCTGATCAGATGGTAACAGGCGAGTGGATCCATGTACCAGGGAGGGGAGCTTGGGCTAAATTTAAAGTCAGTCTCTAAGAACTGTCCATCTCTTTTAGGGTTGAGTGATGTGGGAGCCCTTGTGATTGAGGGGGTAATTCTGACTTTTAAGAAAGCATTCTGTTGAGTGCCATTAAAATACACTGAGTCCAGGCATGAAGATACTACTCAAAACAGTGTTTGAGCTAGAAATCCTCTAATAAAAATCTTCATCAATGTACTAAAAAGAACCCCTACCTCATAAGTTATTAATCCATGAGTTGTTTGATTTAATGACCTAAGTCCAACATCCCAACCTGAAAACATCTCAAGCAAATGTCCAACAATCTTGGGGAAATTTTCTTTAAAGCCATTTGATTGCACCATGTAAGCAGTCAGACTTTAGTAAAAAGCAGTCAGTATGTAACACTGAGTCATAAAGTTCCTTTCAACTATATAATGAGTACCCAAATATATCTGAAACAGGTCTACATGGCACACATATTAATCCAATGGCTCAAATACTGTCAGCCTGCACACAATATTTCCACACTGGCATTTTAAAAACACATATATACATGCACTCAACAGAACCTTTGAAGAGATTAATTGTAGTTCCCCAAAAGTACAAAAATACATCCTAGTACAGAATTTTAAACAAATAAGATCAATAACCTTTTGAAAGAAAATATATTGATACTCTCGTCATTCCCCGTCACTGGGAACCCACTGAAGAATGGCCCTGGACCACCCTGGCACAGAGACCCCCCGTATCCCGACCTCTCTTCCCTTTGCAATTGAAGGGCACCTGATTTCAGACTAATATTTTGGCCACTCACTGAGCTTAAAGAAATTTGCTATAAAAGGCTGCTTTTCTTTCTAAAGTTTATCTGTTTATCTGCAACCTTAGAACTAAACTAAAAAAAAAAAAAAAAAAAAGGAAAAGAAAAAGACAAATACCCTTAGAAACCACATTTCCAGTTAGGCACACATCACCATATTTCCAGCCCTGGGACTTTTCACTGTCTTTGAAGGCAAGCCCTTCCCAAGTCCACAAAACCAGTGTGCCCGAGAACCAGTGTGACAGACAGTGGCGTAAAGTAACTCTGTCAAGTGGAAACTAATATGACATAATTTTGGCCCTTAAAAAAAAGCTAGACTCTACCTCTGAAAGGCAGCCAGGCACAAAGAAAGCAACGTGGTAGGTAACAGTTCTCTTCTTGGTGTAAATGGACACGTTGAGGTCAGAAAATGAATGCTGATAATTTGCCCCAAGAAAGTTATAACCCATCGTAAAACTACAAGGAATGATTTTAATCATAGAAGGCTTGGCTCAACTCTAAAATAAAATACATCAATGGAAGAATAAAAGAAATATTCTTTTTCTCTAGGTAAGAGTTCACGAATCTATTTTGAAATAATTTGGTATTTAATACTGTTTGGGTTAAATTAAAAAAAAAACACCCCTCAGTTGTTTTCTCATCCTAGTTTACCAGCAAATTTAAAGATAACATAGAAAAAATTGATTATATATATATACACATATATATTCTTTGATGTAAAAATGCACAATTCAGCTATTACGCAAAGCTCAATGTGACTATTCAGAAACTTCAAGTATGAGGGGGAAAATTATCAAAACCAAGTGTCAGAAGCTGCATATAAAGGGTTAAAATGTTTTCCAATATCTTCTGTTTGAGGTTTAGTTTTATTGAAGGTAGTTTTTTTTTTTTCTTTTTTGGAAAGACATAGCTTTTTTAAACAGAGGAAATGACCCTCCAAAAAGTTGTATTTTTTATCAAATATTCACTGTCATTGTCTAAAGCAAACAGCTGAAGTAAAGCAACTCTGTAAAAAAAAAAATAAATTAAAATTAAAAAGCCTCAAAATAAAAGCAAAATAAAATCCTTAAGTGATTTTAAAAAATTCAGGAACCTATAAAAAGACAGTTAAAGGATAGTAATTTCTACTTAAGTCCTACCTTAAAAGCAGATGAAATAATTAGGTCAGTTAAAATGAAAACCTTGCCTTTTAAGGAGAATAGGGATTATGAAAACAGGATAGAACTATTTATCAGTGAATTTCTTGAGATGAAAGTATATTTAACTAAATATTAAAACACCCATATTGCAGTACTACAATCACAGAATTATATAAGAAATGTGTGCCACTGATGACAATAGAAAATTAGGATTCCATCAGGCTTTATACTTATTTCTCAATTCAGAAGACTGATTTGTAAAAACAGTCTCCATTTTTCTGAAAAGAACTGAAAGTATCAGAGCTTGTGCTAATTTTTCTATCTCTTATCTGTAGATCCTACAGATCAATAGAAACTTCAGTTCGATTTGCAAAATCTCCAGTAAGTTGCTGGTTAAATTAGCTAAAATTTTCTTCCAGCTAGGAAAAATATATACCAGTCAAAACTAATTATGTCTGGGCTTTCATTGAAACAACATTTGCTAATTTTACTGGTCTGGATACACTGTTTCAGAAAATATTAATTAAACACACTGAATAATGGCTGCTGTAAATTTCTGAAAACAATAATCTCTAAACAGTTCATTTTCACTCCAGACATACGCACGGAAGATGGATGAAGCGGCTGCCCCAGACCGGCAGCAAGGCCGACCCTTTTGTTACCCACCATTGGAGTTGAACTTTGCTCCACTTTGGGAAGCGGACCTAACGCTCTGGAAACAACAAGGAGAACAGGACATATTTACCTGGAGGGACCGGCAAGGAGAAACCTGAAGAATGGCAAACAAAGTGGTCCGAGTGAACGCCCTGAGCCCGCATCCCAGGGGCTCCTCCGGCTAGGCCAGCCTCCGAGCCGTCGTTCCCACGGCAGCCACCCCTGCTTCCATCTTAGGGACTCACCCAGAAAATTCTCCAACCTGCTCCACGACTACAAACTCTTCTGCTTCTGCACGCCCACCATTTGTTCTCCGTGCATCCAATCAACTTCCCACCGCACCTCTTCTCTACCGGCGCTCAGACCCGGGGCCACTGCTCATCTGTATGCTAATTATTTTGCCACATGGACAAAAGTAATAATGCTTTCAGACAGGAAACTAACAGGCCTGAAGTCGGAGATGGAAATTAATAAGTTGACACCACTAAACGACGGGGCCGGGGCATGCGTGCAGCGCCCTGCCTGGCGCAGGATGTGGAGCCTCCATTGACAGGAGCCTCAGACGAGATGGGCTGCGAGCCTGCCCGGCTGTGCATCCGGCACAGGCTCCCTGGGAGACCACAGAGCTGCAGCAGAACAACATCAGTAGCAGACTGCTGACTTACCCTGTCTCAGGCTGCATCCTTTAAGCTCTACAAAAACATAGCCATTTCCCCAAATCCTAGCCTGGGAGGGAACTTCATGGCTGAGCTAGATATTTTTCAAGTTAGAGCTATGGCTTACACCGCTAATTTCTAACCTGGATGTTTATTAAGCTTCCAACACAGTCAGGCAGGATTGGGGATGCATGCTGTATGCTTCTTACATTGTACCCACAGGCCCCTAAATCTCTAGAGCAGAATGTGTATCATGTGCAGCGCCGTATTTCATGTAATAGATGAGAACTGTAAATACCAGAGTCAGGCTGTTCACAGCCACCGGCTAGGCTGTATGTCTAAAACTACCACCCCCCCCCCCCCCCGGCCCCCACCCCCCACCCCCCGCACACTAATGCTATGGTAAATTCACGCTGTGGCCAAAGAGAACTCAGAAAGTCAGCTGAACCCACAATATTTTCCATGGTCCTATTGCTGAGCACCAAAACAACACAGAAAGAGGTTCCAAGCCTGGCCCCCCACCTCTTCAAATGGGAGAACAGTTACACAAGAGTTAACGCAACTGACTCTTAAAATCTCTTTCGGGTTGCCAACCGCACTATGCTCTGTTTCAGTGTGAGCTTCTTCTATCGTGTTCTTTTCAAACAAAAGACATAGAACTATTCCTCTAAGAAAGTTCAAATATTATCAACCTCTTAGCATGGCTGGAAGAAAACAAATGTCAGAAAAAGTTTTATCTGAAAAGGCAAGAGCAAATAAGATTTCAAACATACAAAAGGGAGCATAGATATATGACTTTCATTAACATCTTTCCAGTAAAAAAAATTGCTTATTTTTTACGTGCTTCCTGAGTCTAACAACACATGTTTTCCCCTAGCCGTAGTAGCCACACCACTGCGCTCCCTGCAAGCCTTGCTCCTATCACACTCACTGCTCTGAAAGGCCATATGAAACCATAAAGGTTGCTTAGCACCTCCCACCCTCCCCCTGGACGCTAGCCTCAAATACACAGACTCCCGTTTAATAACAACTCCAGGCAGCCTGCACACATACCGGGCTCCCACAATGATATTAAGGTGGAGAAGAAGCTCTGTTGGAGAAAGAGTCCTTTGTTGACTTGTTTGTACATCAAACCAGGCAATTTTAAGAACTGTTATAATTTGGCATCACACAAGAGCTGAAGATAGCCAGGTAAGCAGGAGACAACTATTTGTCCAGGTACTTAAGAGGCCAGTGAAATAATTCTGAAGAGCTGCGAGTGGCAACAATCAGATAAATCCTAGGCAACCGTTAAGTAGAAAGGAAGAGGTACCTTTTTGTAGGAGAGTTGGTAGCCATCCAGCACAACCCCGGTCTGCAGCCTATTTCTCCACACACGCAGGGCTATTTCTGCCACGGAGAGACCATGGTACATGTTGATCACACTTGCCTATACATTTCCACTCCATCGGCCCCTTCCCTCCAGTGCCGCCACTCTGTCAGCTCACCGTGTACAGGGAGAGTGGAGGGCAGAGCCACCACCGTGATAAACCACTGCAGGTTTTCCCCAGAACACAATGCTGACTGTGGTTTATGTGGGGAGGACGACACGGAGCTCCGAAGTTGCCAAGAACACCTTACTCTAGCTTTCAGAGGTGATTCCTCTAAATCCTGAGCGTCTTGCCTGATGTCTTGAGACCAGACATACTGGTTACTACAGAGGTTACAATTCCCTTCCCATCCAGCCCTGCTGGAAATCACTGCAGTCTGAGAGCAAGAGACGCTTTAAGAGACTATCCTGTACCATTCCGTCTTCTCACAGCACAGCACCCGTCACACTTAAACTAAAACATCCCCCCCCAACTTTTCCAATAATCACCACGTGGGGAGTAGGGATTTTTTAAAGAGATACATTTTAGGAAAAATTTCCTAACGGAACAGCCCAACACAGCAATGCTTATCAGTATTTCCTCACATAATAAATAAGCATTTATGCATTCTTTCTAGTTTTATAACACCTGGCTTACATTTTCTCTGCCATCTCTGATTACTTACACAGATACCCTGAGGACTCATTATGATGTCAAAGCTTAACACAGTTTCATTGTGAAAACAGGCACAGGAAAATCATTGTGTATGCTTGAACAATGCAGGTGTGAAAGAGACACAGAGAGAAGAGAGGGAGGCCAAAGAGACAACCAGGGACAGAGTTAAAGAGGGAGGACAGGGGAGGGAGAGAGAGAGAGAGAGAGAGAGAGAGGGGAGGGGGAGATGGGGGAAAGAGGGAGGGAAAAGGAGCAACAGAGAGAGACAGAGAGACAGGAGGACACAAAGCATATACTCCAACTGAAACCACGTTGCACTGAAACATAGCCTAATGTTAGAAGAATGTATGTCTGCTACCTTAAAATAATCTGACATCAGAAAAAATCATACAATAAATTACTATGAAAGTAAAGTAGTATATCCCTGTGCAAGTTATGATCATTATAGGCAATATTTCTAATTTGTTGGGTATATGCCAATTTAAAATATATATATTTTTATATCAGCCATAATATATGGATGTTATTTACCCCTTACAATTTCAAAATAAAAATTTTTTAATTATATAAATATGTTCTTCTTTAAGTTTGTGCTATCTTTTCTCCTTAGTTTAGTTTGGAATAAGGTGTAAATCAATGTAAGGTAAGAGTTGTGGTAAAGAATACACTATGATGAAACTTACTTGGTGAAAAATATGTTAATCATTTTCAAGTTTTTGTTCAAGTTTATCCTCTATTACTCTTTTCTAAGGAATGCTACACGCTTTTCAAAGAAAACAAAAAAAAGGCATTCATGAAAAGAGGTTTTTAAAAAAGCTTGAAAACAAGAAAATGCATAACACTATTGCAATCAAATTATGACACAAAGTAATTTGATTATTAGAATTTAGCAAAACTGAAGATCTCTCTTTCTGAATCTGCCAATCTGCCATTCATTTGCTTTCTAGACAGAGTTCTGGTGAGACCTTGCATCAAGGTAGACTTTATGGCAAAGTACTAGATGCATTTGAAAAACTGGTTATTGATTAGAAAATTATAGCCCTGGACTCCAGGGGCCATCCAGCCAAGCCCCACTTCAACATCAGGGCAGTGGGGTCGTTACAGAAAAGCATCCTGCTGGTCCCTGTTACTCCACCGAATGGGGGTCTTAATATAAAATATTTCAGAGGAAATATTTTAAGTTGTCTGAAGTTAAAAATGTAGGTACCAAATTGTTTAATGAGTAAAATTATTTTAGATGATATAGTATGTTTTTACAAACAATACTCTCCCTTAAATTAGATTGCCTCATGGGTAGAGTCGGAAATCTAGTTTATACATGTGACTTTGAAAACATATTTAGGCAACAAAATGAATTTTTCTGAGGAGTGATTGGATGTTTTTATCAGACGTGAAGTATTTCTAAAAGCAAATCAACAGATAATCCGGTTATTAACCCTAAGTTTTGAATTTTAAGTATAGTTTTAACGAATAGAAAAACTTTAAGAAGATTTAAGGCTGCAAAATAACTTAGTTTTTTCCTTAATCTATTGAAAGCTGGTGTATAAAACAGACAGAAAACATCAGAGGGTGAAATAATTGGGTGTATCCAGTAATAAGGGATGAAATATAAACATTTTTGAGAGTGTAAAAAATGAGTAAGTTAGGTGAAAAGTAAGTTAGGTTAAAAATATGACAGGAACAATGAAAGCTATATGTCGAAGAGGCCCATTCTCTTAAAATACTCACATTTTCCTAAAATCATGCTCATACAATCCAAAGGAAATAATGTACTCATACTCCTTTAGGAATTTTTGTACACCACACATACATGGTCACAAATTATTGGGCCTTCAACCTTGATCTCATCATCCAACACAAATTTATGAAATTGGCCTAAGTTTTGCTGAAGGATGCAAGTTTAACTCAAGAAAAGTTGAAATTTATGTTTTCTGTGTACTTTCTGCCTTATTGGTCTATCTGCCTTATTGGTAATTCTGGCTCATCTTTTCAAAAATGAAATTCTAACAATAATCACATAACGATTTTCCATTTGAAAAGCATGTCCACATAGTGTTCATAGGTTTTTCAACTCACAACTACATGTATGCAAGTAATTTTAATAAAATCATGTCTAGTAATTTGAAAAGTAGGGTAAAATGTTTATGTGCAACATAAAGGTCTAGAGATTGCCTATCTTTTCTGCCACACTCTTCAGAACATCCCATTGTGACCATAAAGTCTGCTCCGCCTTCTACCTCAACGAGTACAATCATTAAGGTGATGAAACTGAGCCATTTTCCCATTGCCAGTAAACTAGTAGGAAGTCAGTCACTGCTGAATGTAATTGCTATCAGCAGCGGACAGCTCCCGGTGCTGAAAGGGAAAGGGAGAGAAGCCTTGCTCACAATAGCTCACTCAACCAGCCTTTGAAAAATCACAGCAAAACTGAATGAGGTGGCAAGTGCTCAGGCTGAATAGCACTGTCGACAGAACAATGGCAGCCAATTCCAAATCCTACTATAATCACATTAATGAGATTAATCAGTGAATTAGCAGCAGTCAAATGTCAGGGAGGCAAGGAAGAATCCAACCAAGATTGGTAATTAACTTTTTTGGGGGGGAGGGAAAAAATCAACTGTGCTACCTCATAGGTTTCTCAAAAGTTGACAATTTTGCTTCACAAATCTGAAGACTATATGTTATGATCAAAAGGCAACAGTATAATCCTTCATATTATAATATAAATCCAGGTATCGTATTACTGATGCTTCAACTACAGTCCTCTGAGAAAAGTGATGTCACTTTAAATAATCTTCATAAACTATCAGGCTTTTACTGTTTTTAACTCTTCAAGTGTAAAATTAATGTTTAAAAATGAAATTATTTCTCTAATACTCATGTTAAAATATAAAAAAATATGGCTGATTTGAAAAGGAAGGATTATATAATAGCTGCTCTTGCTTCTGAGAAGTCTATGATACTGTAGGGAGAGTTTTAAAAGTGCCATGAAGTACAGAACTATTATACAAACGAATCAGCTCTGGTCTACTGTATTTAATTTTAAAAATGTATTACTATAGTACAACTTTAAGGAGAATTTTGACCAATTGACCTATTGCATTTGAGGTGATAGAATCATACACTTTCCTTTAGGTCAACTAGAAAAAATAAACTTCTTTTTTTCTAGAATGCATCACTAGCATGTATTATATACAATCAACACTCTGGATTCAAAGTTCTTGAGAGGTGAAAACTTATAGGTATGAGTGGTGCTGTTTTTCAAAAAGGAGTATTGTGCAAAAACCCTTTTTATAATTTTTAAAATAATCCCATTTTTATCTGTATGGAATACATGCCTTTATTTATCATTTAAAAAGCCACATGAGTTTCATGAAGTTGAAGAATTAGAAAGAAAGCCTCCCTTATGCATGTAAGGGTGGTACTAGGGTGCTTTTGTCTATGAAGTTAGTTTTGTTCAGTAAAAAATACAAACACTTAAACAAAAAACTCCTATTATAACAAACATTTTTACTGTAAGTAAATAAATAACTTAAAATTCTGTAGATTATATTGTTTTAGTGGTATGAGAAACTATCATGGCTAAATTAATACTAAATTGAAAATCAGAGCTCTATATTTTGAATAGCTAGCCATTATATGAATATTTATATGTGTATATATTTATGGCCTTATTCTGATCTACCCTGAAGATAAAGTTTACAGTTTGAAATTTTAGTTTATTAATTTAAGTTGTGTTAAAGGCATACTTCTGTTACAAATGAAACACTGTTTCATTATTATGAACTTGAAATGTTTCAGTTATAGTTCAAAATCTTTATTTGAGTTTCTCAATTTAAACAATATAAGTCAACTTTTTATCATTAGGCCGATATAATATGACATTGAGAATGTTTTAACAGCCTTTGTAAAAAATGAATTGCTTTATTTGCAATGTCAAGTAATCCAGTAAAGTCTCTGGGAAGTTTTTGTTTCAATATCCATATATCCAAGTACAGTCCATGCAGCAAGGTCTTTTTTATAAACAACATCACGGTTACAGCATGCAACATGATACCCATTTTGCTTTAAAGAGAGACTTCTGTGGATTACAAACTCCTAGCCCAGGAACACTTCAGCTACCAGCCATGCTATGAAATAACTTTAAGAAGGAGCAAACAATAGGCATTGCAGCACCAGCCCTTGAACTACGGTAAAACAGACCCTGTCCACTAAGTCCCCAGAATTAACCTAACGAAGATCACGTACCTCACAGCATGACCACAACCGCTCACGAGTGCGACAAGCTCAGTGTTAGTAACTGCGCTGACTCAAAATACACAGAAAGCAAACGAGCCCTATTCCACCCCAAGTTTGAAAGGATGATGAGGAATATGCCTACCACCGAGATGCAGAAAAGGCTGCTTTTTGTCTTCAGTGAATATTGATATCATAACCCACAGTCCAGGGAGTCAAAAAAATTAAAATACACCCACCAACAATGAGTACAAAAATCAGGGGGCCTTCAAGAAGACTGCAAGGAAAGCTCTCTTCTTGTTTAGTGTGCAGTAGCTTAGGGAAAAAAAATGTCGCCGGGGCAGGAATGACAAATGCGGTGCGATAGGCTCTCAGGCCTGAGGGATCTGTTTTACTTCCACACACATCCCCTAATGCACACACTCCCACTCATCCTCTCGATATGCTTTTTTTTTCCACATTTTTTTCACGAGCTCCAAATCCCCGGCATATGACCTTCTGTTAAATAGATAAAAAAAAAATTGCTTATCAG